TTTTTTCAAACCAATCAAAACAACTCCTTTTGAGTTGATTTTTTGCATATTATTTATTTACAATGTCTATTTTATGAATATATAGAAATATCATAAACAAATATTTTATTTTCATATTTATTTTAATTAACCAAAAGTCTTCCATAAAAAATCCCTAAAACGTGATTTATTGATTAATTTGATTTCCTTTTAACTTAAGATTAAATTTCCTATTTTTTATTAATCACATCCCTTTAGGTTAATTAGACCAAAACAATTTTCCTAACAAAAATCCAAAGCAAAATCCATTTCTTTTTATATTCCTTGTACATTATATATTTCATTTCTTGTACATTATTCAAGTTCAATATGGTTATAATAGATAATTAGGATTTAATTTCTTGCAATCTCCATTTGTAAATTTGTACACCCCATCCCCAAATGATGTAATAGCGTATTAAATTTACTTTCCGCAATTTATCGCTTTCATATTAATGCTAGTAAATTAGGGTTTGTATAGAAAGATAAAACCAATACTTAGAAAACCATAATTCAAGATAAATCAAGCATGAAATACAAACACTTGCACACTTGCACCTCTAGGGTTAACTCCACTTGTTGCCTTATGAAAAATGGTCATGTTATGCATGTGAGACGTCTTAGCAAACACAATAAAAAATACAAGATTATAGTCCCTCGATGACGCTTCAAAATGTTGCCTTATAAATGATCTTAGTCCCTCAAGAGAAATGCTAAGATATCTCACAACATTGCTATTTATGACTATACGATGATCCACGCCCGTCCCTTTACATCCAAAGATAAGGCTTCTTACCAATCAATGGTAAGATAGCAATGTCAAAGGAAGAAATGAACAAAAGACTTTTGAGTAGGTAGAACATTCTTAGTTGCTTGCTCACAATCCATCTTCAAAAACAAACATCTTTTCAAACACACCAAATACTTTCAAAACATGAAATATTTTCAAAAAGTCCAACACGTTGTATGCATTCTTATAGAGACGGGAATCATTACAAAGTTTGTCTAAAAAACGCTTTTCAAAAATACTTTCAAAACCCACCACAAACACATTTCAAACCAAGCAATTTCAAAAGTGATATAACAAGCAACTAAGAGCCCATAGACAACTATAGATGAAAAGGGTGCTGACACCTTCCCTTTTCATAATCTACCCCCCAAACTCAAGAAAAAATCTCAAAGGTCTTTCCTGTTCTTTTCACCCTTTCTTTATTGGATAAAAGAAAAGTCGGTGGTGACTCTTGCTATCCGCAACAATTGCGATCAAACGCAAAACAACCAAGTCAGTTCTCCCCAGTATTACAACATCTTTGTACAAAATACTCAAAATACTCAAAGTGCCAGCGTTTGAGAAAAGAATTAACGAGAATGTACATATGATGCACCATATTTTATATTCAATTTCATTTACATTCAATGAAGTTTCTTTACGCTATTTACGTTCTTTACAATTACCAGTCTAGACTAGTTTATATTTCATTACTTTTATAAAGAAGTTTTACTTCGAAATGCAAAGTGATTCCTTTTGTTTAAAGAGATTATGATCAAACCATGCTTTCTGAATAATTAAACACAATAGTCTTGAGATCAATCTGGTCGATCTCGTGAGTAACTGAATCTTTTAAAGGATTTAGAGGATCAGTAATTATTTACCAAATTCCAGGATAAACACTTGCTCAATGCTAACATGAAACTTTTTGAATACTAAAAACACCTAGTATTTTTTTAAGAGCATGCTACCAAAATTTTCTAGAGTGGTCATCAATAAAGCTAACAAAATACCTTACACCTCAAAGAGTACCAGTGGTCATTGCACCACAAATATCAGAATGCACCAAATCTAAAATGTGTGGTCTTCTATGTGGGGCCTTATATTGAAATGAAGCTCTATGTTGTTTTCTAGTCAAACAATGTGTGCATGGCTTAAGAGATATTTTCAATCCTTTCATACCTTATAAAGCACCTATTTTGGCTAGAATTTAGTCTTTTCTCACTCATATGCCTGAGCCGTTTATGCCATAGATCAATCGAGGAGTCTTCTCCGAGAGCATTAATGCATCCATTATTGACTTTGACACCTATCACATAAAGAATTCTAACTTTCTTGGCTTGAGCTATTACCAAGGAACTATTTATTAGCTTCCATTTTACATCCCTAAAAACACTAATATAACCTTCTTCATCTTGTAGTTCGGTGAATATTAGATTGAGACACATGTTAAAGACATGTCTCACATCTTTTAATGTTAGGCCATAATTAGTGTTTGTTTCTATACAAATATCACCTTTTCCCATCATTTTGGATGTATTATCATTCCCCATTTTTACATGACCAAATCAGTACTTATATAGGAGGAATAGAAACCCCTCAGTGATGTTACATGGAATGGTGCACTACAATTCCCAACCCAACATGTATCTTGTGATGTAAAATTAAAATGACCATCATTGCAAACAAAGATTGCCTCATTGCCTTGAAAAATGGCAACTGTTATGTTACTCACATCACCATTTTCTTGTTGCTCTCTTTTGAGTTTCCTACATGCTCTCTTCATATTATCTTTCTCGTAACAATAGTAACATTCTATATCTTTTCTCGTCCACAGCTTTCCCCTAAAATTATCTCTAGACTTACCCCTTGACATGTCTCTAGTATTGAATTTCTTGTGGATACTTCTTTCATGACCATGTGATGAGCGCCTCAAACTCTGGAGATATTATTTATTCCTTTCTTCTTGATTCTTCATTAAATATGCTATCTTTTACAATGTCTAATGTTAGAATATATTGTGGTACCGAGTTACTCAATGAAACCACTAGTGTGTCCCAATTGTCTGGCAAGGAACTTAGTAATAACAATGCTTGCAATTTATCTTCAAGCACCGTCTTCATATTGGTGAGTGAATTTATCAATCTTTAAAAATCACTCAAGTGTTCTGAAACACTATGGGTTTTTCTATACTTAAGGTTCACCAATCGGTGAATTATAAATATTTTATTATGGTTTGTCTTTCTCTCATAAAAGGTTTCTGATGTAGGAGGACCGTCCTAGGCGTATCGAAGAAGATATCGCGCATCAAAAAGCATTTTAATATTTAAACAATATTATTTTAATATTTAAGCAATTTTATTTTATTTGTTTTATTTAATTATGTTTTATTTAATTAGGTTTTAGATTGAAGGCCCATTAAAGTTATTTTGTTTTATGTATTTAAAAATCTTTGGCATGACCATAAGGGTTATCTTTTATATAATAAAATTTGAACTTTTTTTTGTTCTGGTGGTGGATTCCAGTTTATCTTTGACAGGTTTTGTGTTTGCAACCCTGTTTTCCTTTTCTAGGCTTAGCGCTTGCTATTTTCTAGGGCTTTCGACTGCGTCATTTTCAAGTTCTGTCCATAACATGTACGCAACTATTTCTTGCGCAACATGATGAAAGACACTTTAGTCTATCCATTGTCGAGTTTGTCCAACAATTTTCATGTTCATCAAATTTCAATCATATCAGACTTGCTGGTTGGCTTCGTTCTTTTATTTTACAAAGGTTGATACAAATCTTTGTAATAAAGTATGTTTTTCGTTCTAGGCTTCTAAGTTGAGTAGTTTAAAGAGGTTAACTTAATCATTGTGGTTGATGTCGTCGATGTTGACCTGTCCATTATAAATAATAAAAGTTAAAATATGGTGAGCCGAAGCTTGTTGGAAAAGATATAAATTAACACCTAATAAAATGTCAACAAATGATTCTCTAGTGATCATACTTTTCCCACACTATAAATAACAATAATAAAAATGAAACAATTAAAATATCTTATTTGTGAATGAATGAGAAAATAAAAAATTATTATTACAATTTTTATCAATACAAATGATGGTTAAACACTCTTGATTTTTCTTTCAAAAGGCTTTCAGTGTAATGTTGTTATTAGAAGTGTTGTTATGAAGGTGATGATTTGATATGGAAAATGAGAATGAATTTTATAGCAATGCATGCAAGAAATAGATGGTTAAAATATAAGAAGATTTTTTTATTTTATGAGTTTCTATAATTCTTCCGTATTTTATTTTATTTTCTATTCTTTCATTCCCTTTCCATCTAAGGAGGACCCCATCAATACCAATATAATTTTTTTTACAAAGTATGTATGTTGTTTGGTAAGGCATTTACAAAATAAAATATAAATATATCATTCAAGTTAACAATAATTAGTGTTAGAATTTCACTTCTTTAAGATGAATAATTAAGAGGTCTTGCACGACTACTATTTAATCTAATTTAACAATAATTTACAAATTTAATTAAAATTGATTTGAGTTTCAACAATCTTATTTAAATTTTTGTGGTTAAAAAATCTTAGACATAGATTCCTAAGAATGTCGAATCAAAACAGTTTTTTACATCCATATAAAAACTTTATAGTATTAAACATCATTCTGTATTAAAAAGGCAGACTCATTGACCAGTTTTTATCATTTGAAATGAAAAAAAAAACAAATTTACTTAATATAAAAGACAAAACAAAAGAATTTTTTTTTTTACCAAAAAAGAGAAAAAGAAGAAAGCAATTCTCATGACTTTATCTACCTTACATAAAAAAAGTCATGACCACCAAATGCTTTGACTATAATTTTTTATTAAAAATATAAAATAAAATAAAAAACAAATTGACTAGAGAAACAAATACACAAAAAAGTAGATATAAAAAAAATATTTAAAAAAAATAAAAATTAGGAAAACAACTTTTTGGCTACTATTGACAGCAAAAATGTGGAGAAGGAGACGGGTAACCTTCAATTCCCATTGTCTAAATATGAAAAAGAAAATAAAGAGTAAAAAAAAAAGGAAAATTAAACAAATAATAATATAATAATTGAATTATAAAATAAAAAAGCAAAAAAAAAAACAAGTTCCTAAAGACAGAAGCACCATTTCTGTTAGTCATTTTTGTCATTGAGTTTCTCTCTCCTCTTTCTCTCTCTTGTTTCTCTCTCTTGATACCAAACAAACCAGACCCACTTCCTCCATTCATCTCGAAACATTGTGATTTGTGAAACTTATTCCTCCTCCAAAAATATTTCCTTTTTTTATGCCCTTTGTGATTTTTGGCCTTAAGTATTCTACCATGATTGATTTGGGTTTTTTGGGGTGAAGGAATGTAGTTGGAGAAGGTGATTCTTTTGAATAAATAAATCCTCATTCATGAGGTTGTTTCAAATTTTATAAAAAATTTGATTCATTCTTATTATTTATCACCCCCAATTTTTTTATTTAAATTTAACCTAGATTGTGAAACCTTGTTGTGGAGAATCTATTTGGTCCTTGTTCCTTCCTTTGTTTGGATTTTTCCACAATCAAGTGGTGAATTGTGCTTAAATTTGAAGGTGATTGGTTTTATATCATGGATCATGTGATTGGTGGGAAGTTTAAACTAGGAAGGAAAATTGGGAGTGGCTCTTTTGGAGAGCTCTATTTAGGTTTGTCAATCTTTGTTCCTTTTTATTGTTGGCTACATTATATTGTAAATGTGTTGTTTTGTTTTCTTGTTACTATTAATATGTTATTTTTTCTTCTTCTTCTGTTAGCTGTTAATATACAAACTGGAGAGGAGGTTGCTGTTAAGCTGGTATGTGAAGTTCTCTTCAAGATTTTCTCTCCTTTTTATTGTTTAATTCCTTCATGATTTTGTTGAGTTTTGTTGAGTTTTTCTCTCTAGATGTATTTGTAGGATACTATTATTTTAACTATTTAGGTTAATACTGATGCATGAAATTGGGTATGATATAGTTTATCGCCCAAGCGAATAGAAAAAGAAATGTCATGACATATAAATTTAATGTTACATTTTTTGGAGAATAGGTGGATGATTAGTTCTCGAGGTGTAGAAGAAATAAATAATTTATCTTTATGGATTGAAGTGATATGTGAAATGAAATGGCACATTATGTTTATCGTCAGGAGTCTGTTTTGCAGCTTCTGGATGCTCATTTTGGTTCATAGTTATACGATATATTTTATGTTGCGTTATTGATCGTGTTTTGCTGGTTTCGTGAGAAGTTTTTTTTGTTATTACAAGTTAGTTGTACTTCCAGTGATACAATATGTTTTCCAGTTTCTAATTGTCTTGGTGGTGTTCTGCCAAAATAATCCAGGAATCTGTGAAGACGAGGCATCCACAGCTTCACTATGAGTCAAAATTGTATATGCTTCTTCAAGGAGGAAGTAAGTTTGCATTCCTCTTTCTTTGTATTGTGCTAGAAGATTCACACGGAAAATGTTGTTTCTGAATCATTAAAAAATATGCATGTTTGTCTTTGTTTTCTTGATCCCGGAGTAAAACGGGACTGATGCAATGGATCTTCTTTAGATACTGAAATCATGACCATTAGTCTCAAACCAATGCCCTCGAAGCAAAAATGTAAAATGAAAGATGTTATTTAACTACGTATATGTTTCCTAATCCTAACGAGTAAATATGGTTTTTCTTTTATGAAGCGGGGATTCCCCACCTCAAATGGTTTGGAGTTGAGGGAGAGTACAATGTCATGGTTATTGATCTTCTTGGACCAAGTCTAGAGGATTTATTCAATTATTGTAACCGGAAATTTACATTGAAGTCAGTGTTGATGCTCGCCGATCAATTAGTAAGTTTGTTTTCAAATTGGCAACTATTATTATGAAATAAAGTTTTTTCAAATAGTGATACTAATGGTTTATTTGATTGTACTTTTGTTTGTTTTTTCAGATTAATAGAGTTGAATACATGCATTCACGAGGCTTTCTTCACCGTGACATAAAGCCAGACAATTTTCTGATGGGCCTCGGACGTAAAGCAAATCAAGTATGTTCTTATTGAAGTTTTCTTTCTTGTTTTTTAATTATTCCCTCGTCTATTTTGGAAGCAATATGCCTTGCCTTACTCAAAGTTTGATTGAGTGGTATGAGGGAATCCTAAGTGATCCACATATGAATATTATTGACCTACAAAAGAATTATGAGAGGGTATCTAAAGACAAATAACTAGTGAACACATGGTAGGCCCATTTTGAGCGGTTGTCTTTTACTTTGCTTTTGAATGTCAATGTCCTTACCAACATAACCAAGAACCAGTACTTTCATAAAATTTTCTTTTGTAGATTATATAGTCATAGTAAAAGAATCTAAATAGTCAAGTTACGATAAAATAAAAGTAAATCTTGGAGTACATTTGTTGAACCCTGCATTGGGTGTTGTATGACGTGGAACAACGTTTATAAGTGGTGTATGACTCTCACCTTACAAACCGATTTTGTAGGGTTGAATTAGGTTCAACCCAAATGTTAAGAACATTGAATGCAAGTTTAGCAAGATAACTTTGGCATTTTCTTAGAGGTCACTTTTGGAGAACATATTATGCCACAACAAGTTGCACAATTTGGTATCTTGTATCTATCATACAAAGTAACTATGAAATAGAGAGAGATAAGTAACGGAGAAAAGTTTAAGCTGTTATCTGTGATTGAAAGGTACCTCTCAAGCTTGAAGGACATAAAGTTCCGACTAGAGCATATGGTACGAGAATGTTGTAGTGGATAAGTTTGGAAAGCACGTTGAGTTAATACTTAATACTCTTTTCATCTTTATTTTACTTTACAGATGCTACAGGAATACGGTTGTTTGCCCATCTTTTACTTTAATTTTTTATTTATTTTAATGAATTTGTATTCTTCTGTCTAAAACTAAATATAATTGACTGATACATCATACTCGTCATCTCATTTCAGGTGTACGCCATTGACTACGGCCTTGCGAAAAAATATAGGGATCTTCAGACTCACAGGCACATACCATACAGGTTGGTTGTCCTCGTTATTTCAGGAGGGTGCAAATTTTAACAGTAACAATATTAAACTTAGCCCCAACAACTCTCATTGTTCTCAATATATTTTTGTAAGTGATGTTTTTTTTCGTATTTGCATAGGGAAAACAAGAACCTTACAGGCACAGCACGCTATGCAAGTGTCAACACTCATCTTGGAATCGGTTAGTAATATTTTATGCTGGTTTATTCCTTTCTTACTTAGGAACATTTAGTTCCAGACGAGTTATTATTACACTACTAGAATCAAATGTGTTTTCTACATACTAATAGTGTGTGATTGTGCTGCCGGCAGAACAAAGCAGAAGGGATGATCTGGAATCTCTTGGTTATGTGCTCATGTATTTCTTAAGAGGAAGGTTAGTTAATTGATAAGTAAAAAGGTTTAATGTTATTACAACTTTATTCAGTGTGATAATTCTTTCTTACATTTTCTTGCTTCAGTCTTCCATGGCAGGGACTGAAGGCTGGAAACAAAAAACAAAAATATGATAAAATAAGCGAGACAAAAGTGTCAACTCCGATAGAGGTAATTATGATTTCGTCTTCGTTTTCTCTTCTGTCTTGTCTCCGATAGAATCTTAATTTTATTGATTTTCTTGAATTATGTGCTTTTATAAAAACAGGTGCTCTGTAAATCATATCCCTCTGAGTTTGTATCATACTTCCACTATTGCCGATCATTGAGGTTTGAGGACAAGCCAGATTATTCATATTTAAAGAGACTTTTCAGAGATCTATTTATTCGAGAAGGTAAGTTGTTGCCCTAAATATGTAATATGGAAAATGTATTCAGTTTATTTTTACTGGAAACTTATTGTGTTTTAGTAGTTGTGAACTGATGTGGACATTGTTCATGCAGGCTATCAATTTGACTATGTTTTTGACTGGACTGTATTGAAATATCCACAAATTGGTAGCAGCTCAAGAGGGCGGGTTAGTATTTTATACATTTCTTGTTTGGACTTTTCCATTTATTGTTGGTTGCTTACTGTAGTCGTTGCAACAGCAGCATGCCAGTGGCAAGGCAGCTATGCAAGCAGCTACACCTGCACACAGACCAGAAAAGGTCCCAGGTCTGTTTTCTTTCAGCTAAATAGTAATGTTCAACTGAAGTCATATTAAGCATCACTCGTCAATAACAAAACTAGTATACTGCTCTCAAATTCTGTGTTGTATAACATTTGCTTGTGCAATTTGTTTCAGTTGGGAGAGAGTTTCGAGAGAAGTTATCCGGTGCTGTTGAAGCATTCTCCCATAGGAACCGCCCAAGTTCTACTCCTCATCATCATCACGGTGAACATGTCAGACATAGAACTTATGAGGAGACAGCAATGCACAAGGAAATGGTAATATTGTTTTTTCAACAATAAGAATATATAAATCATCATAAGATGTTATCGAATGAGAATATTGATTGCTTCATAATTGGTTAAACAAGAAGACGTTTTCTACTTCCATTTCATTTTTGTTACTAATAATTACAAAAAAGTGAACACAATATTATTCTTATGTGTAACATTATCTTGTATTAACAGCACTATGCCCAACACAATTCAACTCGATATGGCAGCAATTCGAAAAGAGCAATGGTAACATCATCAAACAGGACGAATTCCTCAGGCGACCATACTAACAGGATGGCCTCAGGTGGTGGGGGCCGTCCATCTGCCGCACATAGAGTTCAACCTGTTTACGAGACCAGACAAGCAGCTTTTGCACGCAACGGATCTTTGAGAGGCCACCGTGATGATCCTCTGAGGAACTTTGAACTCCTCGCTATCAGGAAGTAATCTCAAGGGTCTCATTTTGTTGTCGTTTCTAAATTTCACCTGAGATTTCAAGAAGCCTTATGAGGTCATGGATAATACTGAATTACCTATGAGGTCACAATCGCATGACCTCTTGATATCATTTCTGGATCCCCCCAGATTGCTTCAGAAGATTTATCTCAGCAACTGTAATTTGTTCTTATAACATGTCGAAGATATAATTCAAAGAGAAGTTCTTTTATTATAAATAAGTATTGTACTGGATGGAAGTTTTGTGGTAACAATGTTACTGTTTTTTTACCATGAATCAAATTTAACTAGGCTAATGTGCTGAATGATATGGTGATGTAGGATAAGAAAACTTGGGATATCATTTTCATAACAATAGATGAATTAAAAAAAGTTGTGAAAACAAGCCCTTGAAGTCTTGAACTGATTATAAGGTATGTTTAGCATCAAACTAGGTTATTCTTTGAAATCATTCTATTAGTAGTGCAGTGTTTTTTTCATCCCCAATTTCGATTTCGAAACCACACCACTAGATTTCCCTAGCCGAGCGCATGGAAATTTAAACTGAAATAAATCAACAACTTTAAGAAGGATATGCACATTGAATTTCTGAAATCCCAACAAAACACAGGACAACTGAGTTTGAAAACAAAAATCCTAGACAAAAGTTATGGATTTCTAAGAGCTGCCAAACGCTTCTCAATGTCAGCAATTTCTGAGCTGCAATGGCATCAAATTCAAAGGTCAAACAAACTGACAGAATAAGCAACAACTAAAGAAGTTTCACAGAAGAATAAATTACTGTTGGGTGGTAGAAACCTACTAACATTTTTCTGTATTTTGTATCTTCATCTGAACTTTTTCAAAGATTAATTATGGAGGAAAAATGAGAGGCATAGAATTGTAATATGATTATATACCTGCTGACATTTTCGGTATTCTTTGTTTTGAGTCTCCCTTTTGGAGCTGCTGATAACTGCCAGTAGTTCAAATAAAACAGAAATTAACAGGAGCACAAAACACAATGTTTTAAGACAGATTATAGAACTGCAGAGATTAATAACAACTAATTCCAACCTGTGAAGCAAGATCCACACCAATTTCATCGAGCACCTGCCAAAAATAAAAAAGTAAAATGAAATTTCCATCAATTCTTTTATGTAATTTAAAAAGAAATGTTACCTCCATATAATCATATCTTAACTTCTTCCCTTATAAATTTAGCTATATAAGCCATCCAGAATTTTTAAAGAATTTTAAGGTGCATTTGATTTGCTTAAAAAATAAAGACAATACAACACTGCAATGTTAAGAAGTCCCTAATACCTGATTTGTGAGAACTTCCGTCTCCTCTTCAGCTTCATCATCATCCAAGACATCATCTATGGCATCGGACATCATTTCAGTCTGCATAAATTACAGAGTCAGGACCACTAATATCAGTGTCATTACACCCGCTTTGAAATTTACAACATCTTACAGTTATATCCAATTGAGCTGATTGTTTCTGGAACTCGTGAATAACTTTGGCTTGCTTTCCAGGTGCCATTTGCTGCAAATGGGCACGATAACATGTCAAATATCATAAAACCTTCATCAAAGCAAAAGCTTTTTTTTCTATTTTTTTTCCTAATAATATCTTGCTATTATAGCATGTCCAATACCAAAACCAACTGAAGCAATGCATCACGCGTGGAGCCGCGGAAGTAAAATACTAATTCAAACGATGCTACCTTATTCATCGCTTCCATTGCCTTACTAGCACCTTTCAAACCAACAGAAACAGAAGATTGAGCAAACTGTGCCTGCATATGGTAAGAGCAAAAGCCACCCACCATGTCATAACCAAGTACCAAAATTAGAATCATAAGAACCACTATTCGAGCAAGGTACCTGTGTGTGAGTTGCCATGCCTCTCATTTGAGCTCGACTACTTTGAAGATTAGAAATTTGTTGCCTAAGCCGGACTAACTGGCGCGCTAGAATTTTAGTCGCATCCTGCAAAAGATGCATGAAAACTGATAAGCAAGGAAAATATCAACTAAATAATCGTCATAGCTTATCAATTTTGGTCTTAAATTAGTCTCATCCTACAAGAAGAAAACAACTAGAGCAAGATAGATGGATGTTGATACCTCATTACCCGTCTTAGCAGTTCTCTTTATCTCAGCAACTAGCTTCTTCTCCTAATCATAAAATCACAATACATCATAAATGAGTAAATCAGTATGAGGTACCAGATTCAAACCTAGGACAAAGAGTCCAACCTAACGATATCGACATTTCTCAGTTAAGGTATGTCTTACATATGAAGCACGGACACCAAAAACACAACACAGATATTAGTAATAATTTGAAAAAATTAATAAATTAAATATGATCGCAATGACACTGACGCAGACACAGTTTTCTAGAGGTATCAGTGCTACACTGGATAATAGTAAAGTAAGTGATACCTCAAGTTGTAATCCTCTAATTTCCTTCTCTATACCTGTGGAATACATAGATATAGACATATATATGTGAAAATAATAATATGATATGAGGGATTATAAGTGGAACTGTAAATGTGATTGAATAATGTGATGAAGTGAAAAGCGAGAAGATAACCTCTAGTGGCGTTGGCCATTTCTCGTTTACTCTCTCGAAGAACCTCTGCATGATCGAAGAAGAAGGGTTTGTTATAATCAAAGTTAAGCGAAATTGAATGAATGATCGTAGAAAAAGACAAGACACGATCAAATTAATGATGATGAACCTTTTGGCTTTGGTTTTTTGGAGAAGATTTTCAACATCGTATTGGTTGTGTTCTTCAAATTACAACAATGTTGCAATTGGAATGACAACTCTTCACACTCTATTGTAAGTTGTAACCCCAATTCAACAAACTCTCTTGTTCTATGGGAGTGCGTGATACTTATGATTGTATATGTTTTTATTTTTGTGTTAATTGTAACTATTTTAGCTTTAGTCACATTTATTTAAGGCTTTTTAAATTAATTCTAAAATTTTGTAATGAATATAATAATATTTTTTAATTCTTTTTTTTATAGCACTTAGGGTCGAAAATGACTCGAGTCGAGTCGAACTCGCATCAGTTTGACTTGACTCGTTAAAATTTAGTTCAGCTTAAATATCGGTTCGAGTTTGTCACGAATTTATTTTTCAATTCAAACTCGACTCGTTAGAAGTTCACGAACAACTCAGTTCAATTCGTTAGATTTATCTCGTTAGGTTCAACTAACTTGTTTCACAGACTTAAAAGTCATTTTTTTAAAGTATATATTTTTTTATATATTTGACATTTTAAATTAATATTTTTTAAATAAAAATATAAAAATAAAATAAAAGTTATAAGATTGTAATTTATACGATGTTTATTTTATTTGTATAATTAGTTTTAAAAATATATTTCTCACGCGAGAATATAAATTATCAATTAAAATTATTAGATTAAAAGAAAATATAGGACTAAAATTTGAAGCAAATATTTAAACCTACTCTTAAAGACAATATAATTCATCTCATATATAATCGAGTTGACTCATGAACCTAACGAGTCGAACTATGTATAGTTCAAGTTCATCTCATTTAATTAACGAACTTAGTTTTTAGATCATATTCAGCTCATTTAGTTCATGAACCTAGTTCAACGATTTAATCCTCATACCGAATTTCAAATTATTTTCGAGTTGATTCGGTTCATTGTCAGCCCTAATAACACTTCAAAAATACTTGGCTACACTTAAATTTAATACTCCATTCGTTTCAAATTATAAGATGTTTCACCAATTTTACACGAATTAAGAAATATAATTATTATTTTATGAGAAAATGAAATGATGTATGACTTTACAAAAATGTTCTTCAATAATTATATTGGAAAACGAATTAAAAGAATACAAATAAGAAAGAGAATAAATAGTACTAAATGGTATATTAGACAAAAAATCATTAATGATGTATTTAGATGATAAAATGACTTATAATTTAGGACAAATATTTTTAGCCAAGTGACTTATAAGGAGGGAGTAATAATAATACTTGAACTATTATTTCTTCTTTTTTATTTTATAAAAAAATCCTATTGTAATTAATTATCTAAATTTTTAATAGAATTAATAAATATGATTTGTGTAATTTATCAGTGACTTCAATGTTATTGGTGGTTTTCATGAACATAGAGTATCTCATGCTTCCAACAAATTACACATGGAGGGATTTTTGAGCTGGTCTGACAACAATAATCTGATGGACATCCCTATAAACGGATCTCTTACACTTCATTAAATGGTAGGTATGGAGGTGGTCTGGTGGAGAGAAGACTTATTTGGGTTTTTCGTAACCAGATGTGGCTAACTGATAGTAGAATCATGAATGTCTCAACTCTATAAGTCTAACCACTGCCCTTTGCTTCTAGAAGTTGGATTCTCACATAAAAAACATGCTTCTATCTTTAAGTACCTTGGAATGTGGGCCCTTCTTGATAACTATGAAGCCTTCATCGTCAAATGTTGGTTGACACTAGTTATAGGTGTTGGTGTAAGTCCTAGAAGCCAATATTTTGGATACCTTTATCAAATTAATTATTAATAATAAAAGACATTTCTTTATTATGTTTTCTTTTCTAAAATAATAAAGTCTTTAGAATAGTTCGTCTGTTTAATGAAATATTAAGTGTGACTTAATCATGAGATCCCATTAAACATAAGAATACTATTATTAAAGTATATGTAGTCGAGCTTTATTGCAAAGTGGGATAACATTAAAACATAAAGATTATCATGAAGATAGACTGATGATCACACCTCATGGGTCATGGATAAGGACTTATCAAGTCTTGACATATGTATGAATATTATGAGTAATATTTATACTGGATTGATCCGCTATGAGAATACTACATAGAATATTATGCAAGGTGTCATAAGTTATTCTCATGGTGATAATGGTGTATACCACCCTTCGACATGAAACCACTATGGACCCTAGATATAAAGTTAAGTATTTTATTGCTGATCAAACAATATCCGTAACTGAATGACCATAAAGACAGTTGATGGGTACTTCACAAAGCATGTTGAGGGACATGAGTGACCTAGATGAAATTTGCCCATCTTGCATAATGGGATAAATGTCTAAGGGCCCAATATTGAACCGGACAAGGGTGACACCGTTTATGCCTTGTGTTCAATATAGACATAAAGACAAAAGGGTAATTATACACACAAATATTATCACGGAAAGGTTTTGTCAAATCATATGACATTTTCGTGACTTGAGTAGCAGTGATGTGTTGCTAGATACTGCTCATTGTTTATTATGTTAAATGTGTGATTTAATATAATTGCCAACATCATAAAAACCTACAGGGTCACACACATAAGGACATGTTGATGAGATATAGAGTAAATAAGGAACATTGTAAGGTACCGTGCACTTAAGTAAAATATGGAATATGATAAGGTACCACGCGCTTAAGTGATATGCGGTATATCATAAGGTATGATACCCATATGCTTAATTGGGCTTTTAGCTACAGCCTTAATTGGGCTTTTAGCTTGCAGCCCACATAAGTGGTTCTATAAATAAAACCCTTGTGCTGAAGCATTTTACTTGATAAAAATTCGGTCTTGAAACCCTAGCCGTATTTTCCCGTCCCGCCCCGCCCCGCTTTTGTACGGGCTCAAACGGGGCAGGACTAAACGGGGCGGGCCGTTCATTTTGCCACCCCTAATTTTATGTGACGTTGCATAATAATGTGATTAAATGGTATTTGTTGATAAATGGTATTTTGATAATATGTTGTTGTGAATTAATGACGTTCGTAAAGGTGTGAGTATAACATGAAGTTCTTATGAAGTTTGGTGCCTTACCTATGTGCATGTCTACTATATTTATCTCTTATTTCTTTTATAATGATTATGATTTACTCACCCTTTCTGTTTGAATATTGCCTCCACGTGGATAACACGCGGGTAATCGAGATTAGTCCGTAAAAGCATTAAAGGATAGCTTCTAAGTGTGCTTATTTGCTTTTGTTGAATAAAGGGAGTCTTGTTCTGACATTTAACATCGGGGTTGGGATCGATTATTTGCGAACTTTGCATATTTAGTTATTTTGAGATTTTGTATTTCTATAATGACTTTTACCATGTTTTAGGCTATGACGTTATAAACATGAAGTGTGATGATGTTAATGACATTTGAACTACCTTTCATGGTATTTGAGATTATTTTATGTAGAAGATATGACTCATTAATTCCGTTGTGAAGTTTGAAGTGAATTGTTTATGGTTTCTAGAGATTATAGATTTATTTGCAACCCGTGTTACGGATCAAGATTTAATTGTTATTTGATGTTCTATGAAGATGTGATGCCATTCTGTGGTCTTTATTTGATTTGTTTTTTCAAAAAATTATATGCGAAATGTATGTGGGTTAGAAGGGTATTACACTTACCACCATTGTTCTTCATCTTCAACCTCCAACCTATGAATACACACTAACAAACTACACATAATAATTTTTGTTGGGGTGCCATCTAGATGAGGTTTGATAACGTCCAATTATGTTTATGTAACCAAGAATATTGGATAGAGAATTATGAGGGGTTTCATCCGAAAAAACCTAGGGTTTATCCTCCAAGATCTTTGGTAGATTTGGGGGTTTTGTTCAAGACTTCGCAATATTGGACTCGACCGAGTGAAAGCTTTAAAGATTGGAGATCTTGAAAAGGAGTAGCGTGAGACGGTGGATCTTATTGGAAGTTCATGTGGTCAATAATTCACAATTGAATTTGATTGAGTGAAAGCTTTGGAGATTGTTGATCTCACAAATGAGTAGCATGAGACAGTGAATCATTTGGATCTATTGTGTCTTGGTATTGCACAAGATCAAAAGAAGTGAAGGGGTTGAATCAACATCAAACGATTAGGGTTATTAAGGTTGCGTTTGGAACACTTCTCTTGTAATCAGCTTTTTACAAAGTAAGAAATTTATCTCAATTCTAAAACGGAATTGAGGAAAGACGTAGCCATAGCGAGGATGGTTGGTGAACTTTTTAAACAAATCCTTGTGTCGTTTTCTCTCTCTCTCTCTCTCTCTCTCTCTCTCTCTCTCTCTCTCTCTCTCTCTCTCTCTCTCTCTCTCTCTCTCTCTCTCTCTCTCTCTCTCCCTCTCTCTCTCTCATTTACTTTCTATATGCAATTTATTGAACTTGGTGTTTGATTGATCAATTCGTATATAATTTTTCTTTGATTGTTAAAGCTTAAATTATTGTGTTGATCAACTTATAATCACTTTGATTGTAAGTGTTGTTTTCAAATCAATAAAACTCAAAAGAAAAATCTGAAAAATTGATTGCGTGCCTAGTGTTTGATAAATTGTCAAGTTATGTTTTTTAATACAATTGCATTAGAAATAAGTGGTTGTAGTGATTTGTTATAAGCGATTAATTATGAAACAATTATGTTAGTTATTTTTATCATTGATTAATTCCATACGACTTCACATATCTGAGTTTCCACTAACAAGGTTCGTTTAGACGACATTTTTGATCTAGGCTAAAAATCTTTCGCGCAATATTGTCTTTCAAAATAAAACTTTAATTACCTATTTTTAAAAAGGTAATTTTACTTGAGTATCTATTCACCCCCTCTAGATAAATCGCCGTCATCTAACATATCTTTCATTGAACTAAACATCTCATGTGAAAAATGTTTTATCTTTGACTTGTATCCTCCTTCTTGATTTGCCTTCCCAAAATTCTCCTCACCATAAGTTATTCTCCACTAGGTATTTGTTCTTTGTCCTCTTGCAACTCCCCATCATAATTCTCACCCTCCTTTTCAACATTTACTCCATTTTCCTTCATAAGCATATTTATCTTTGTTGAACATTAAGATGCAATGTATCCTTGTCCTTAACACTTGAAACACTTAACATTTTTTAGTTGAAACACTCGAAGAAGGAATATTAATTTCATCTTTATTTTCAACCGTTGACTCATTAGATGATAAAACACCTTCCTTTTTTGTTTTGAGCTTTCGAATTTGAAAATAGAAAATATTCTTTGTTTTAATAAATAATAGTATCAATGATCTCGGTTCACTCCTTATAGTCACACAAAAACCAAGAGAATCCTAAATATTAAATCTATAATTATTTATTTATAAAGAAGATACACATTTTTTAGGTTGACTTATTTTTCTTCCAATATTACCCTTAAAAGTTATAACTGCTGAAAACTAAAACTACCGATCTTAAATAACTATAATAAAACACCAAATACAATAATTGTAAAATCATCACACGATGAAGTCTCTGAGACATTAAAACTTTTTATGTATCATTCATTGTAGTTTTCTTTTGGTTTTATATCAGGGTAGAAAAAATCACTTTAGCCACAATCCTTTCACAATGGCTAAACCATAATAGACAGAACAAACAAAAACTGGACAAGTTATTTGACAGAGGGTGGAATAATGACTCTGTTTTGGCTCGGCACTAAGAACCCTGCACAGTTAACAACAAATCACAAGAATTGTCATCAACAGATTCAAACACCTTCCTCCTTTGCATTTCTCTCTCTACCATTTCTCAAGTATATGTTCTGATACTCTTTCACTATTCTATGTCAACCTAATTTCAGATCTATCCACGTCATAAAGATAAAATGCAATCTTTCTGTTAATTACTCATAACTATGAGTTTGGTTTGTAATATTCAGAATTGAAAAAAACATTAGATTTCATCAATAATGGAGTACAAGAGTCGGATATATATTTTTTTAATAAATTCATCTTAGTACTCCATATTTATTGTATGAAAGATAATACTTTTCTAGAAATTGGTTGAAATAACATCAATTAGGGAGAGAGAGTGACAGAGAGAGAGGTTCTTATTTCATTTAATTGGTTTTTATTTTATATTTTTATATATTATGTTATATTAATATATATTAATATATATTATAAATTTTTTTAAATTAAAATAAAAATAAAATATAAAATAAGTTTGTGTTTTGACGCGGTACACATTAAAATAATCTATCACAATTATATATTCAATTAAATAAATGATTGAAAATGATATTTGCAATGATTGTAAAAAAAAAAAAAAAAAATTTAAGAAAATGCAATGCAAACGACCGTTAAGAAAAATGACACATATATATAGCCGATAGTATTTTGTCTTTGTCCCTTTCTAACATCAATCATTGTTCCATTTTGCGGATTCTTCTATTCAACACTCATTCCATTCTCTCTCTCTCTCTCTCTCTCAATTCAATCTCACCATTTCCCAAATCGCCATTTGCCCTAATAATCGCGTTTCCGCAACCGGCTTATTTTCACAAAGCTGCTTACAGATTCACAATCAGATTATCTTATTATCGGTAATCCCAAAAACAATCAATTTTACCCCGTTGTGTTTGATTTTGTTTTTGTTTTCATTATGTAAAAAATAATATATATTTTTTTTTGTGTGTTTCTTCAAATATCAGCAGTTGATCGTGATGGGTCTCTAATACGTAGCAGCCGAGTTGACATTGAAAGGTTTCGGTGTAGTGGATGATTGGTTGTGGGGGGGTTGTGGAGTGTTCTTATGAAGAGGTCTGGAACTAGGGAGTTGAGTGATTTCTACCCCATTCGACCAGAATGCCAAGCTGATGTTCCAACAACTCGTTTTAAACCAAGGGTCAGCTTTACATTCTCCATTATTGCTTTTCTTTTTTGATTGAATGTTAGCAATGCCCTAAAACTATTGTAAGATTGAAAGTTTATGCTAACATAAGTGGTGTCAGTTGCTGATCGCGAGGAATATCGATTTATTCGAATTATAGTGCCACTATTGCTACTATTTGATAACACTTTGTACCAAATATCACTTAGCAGAACAATGTCAATGTGTTCAAGTTTTGTTGCACCATAACGCCAATATAGCTACTATTTGACAATACTGCCTGAGACATTATCCAATGGTTTTAACTCTTTTTGATAGGCCTATTTTGCCACATTCGATTTAAGAATACTTATCAGCTTTTAAGTCTAATGGTGCAACTCTGTACGAACTCATGGATCCCTTAGTTATATTCGATTCCACAAATATTGTTATTATATATACTTGAGTGAGTTGGTGATTTTCTTTATGCTGATTTCCACAGTATGGCAAGACTTTAAGTGAAAGAAGATGGCAAGCATCATTTGATGAAGAAGGTCGTTTGGATATCGCAAAAGTGCTGAGACGAATACAGCGAGGGGTAACTTTTATTCTTTACCCTTGCATTGCTGGTCTGTTTGCGTGTTTCTCTGTATGTTTGTGGTGTTTATAATCACTCTGCTAACTACTGTTAAATTGTATGGCGACTCTATCACAATAGGTTGATAACTGTAGTCGGACATTTTTCTATGTGAAAGAGACAGTATATAATGTGATTTTTCATAATCATTCGACATCATGTCTATTTTTATGACAACACATGTCTATTAAAGTTACAATCAAATATTGTCATATATTATTCTATCTTTTTGTTCCTTCTGATTTGTGCTTATTGCTGTGTTTATTTCCATATATTATGTAGGGTGTTCATCCTTCAATCAAAGGGGTGGTAATGGAGTTCTTATTAGGTTGTTATGATCCTAACAGTACATTTGACGAACGGAATGAACTCAAGCAACGCCGGAGGTATATTTTCAATTAAATGTGTTTTTGTAGGATTAGAAAATGAGACCAAGGATTAAAAGAAGTTAAGCACATCAATAATACTATGATATTCTTAGGTCCTCTGAATTCATGTAAATCTTTTTCAGGGAATGTGATTAGTATGGGTTCTAGGAGACTGATCGGATAAATAGAAAAACAAATTATGATAATAGCAAAGAAATATGGAAACTAATCTTAAGATAAGAAACTAATCAAGAAAGTTTTATATCTTCTAATTACTTGATCTACCATAGAATATTAAGTATTAACACAAGATTGGGTGGCTTCCCATACTTCCTCCTAGAGTCTCGTGTAGGTTTTTCTAATAGGCATCTAGTGGGACAAAAACTTTCAGGGTGTTAATCCCAAGTTTTTTCATACTTTTTTCCACCTTTATTTTGGTTGATAACAAACGAAGCATGAAACCTTTTTTGTAAATTATTCAGGGGGCAGTATGATATGTGGAAAGCTGAATGTCAAAAGATAGCCCCAGTCCTTGGTAGTGGAAAATTTGTTACAACACCTCTCCTCAATGAGGATGGCCAACCAACAGATCCTTCTTTGGTAACCGTCACGAATCCAGATAAGAAAGTTGCGCAGTGGTTAATGTTATTACATCAGATTGGTAAGTATATGCTGCTGCATAAATACTCTGTTTTTTATTATTTTTTATGTTTGGTTTAATAAGTATCCATGATGGCAATTGATTATTTTGCATTGTAGGCCTGGATGTTGTTCGAACAGACCGATCGCTTGTCTTTTACGAAGATGAAGGTAATCAAGCCAAACTTTGGGATGTTCTATCAATTTATGCTTGGTTGGACAATGATATTGGTTATGTACAAGGTGGATTACTATACCTTTCAATTTTTTAATGTCAAACAGAAAGAGCTTCAAGAAGTTTCTTAATGGATTATTTCCTTTGCAGGAATGAATGATATTTGCTCACCTTTGGTTATTCTTATTGAGAATGAGGCAGATTGCTATTGGTGCTTTGACCGTGCGATGCGAAGAATGGTACGATAGACATATCATGCAGGAGAAATTTTTCCTGTTCTGTTCTTTGTGTTCTCCCTTAATGTCTTGTTATTGAAGTTTTGTATAGGAAACACCAAACAACTTAAAAAAAAAAAATTTCTTTTTCATTGTTTTTTATGCAAATATCTAAAAAAAGAAAACAAAGTAAAAAAAGGTGGTGCTTTGTAATTTGAAGTAAAAGGGAGAACATATTCTCAGACCAAATATACCCTTGAATTTTTTTCTGTGGTTTTTACATTCCTGACCATGTCTCATAACAGAGAGAGAACTTCAGGTGCACTGCAAGTTCAATGGGGGTGCAATCTCAGTTGGGTACACTCTCACAGATAATAAAAACAGTTGATCCCAAGCTTCATCATCACCTTGGTAGGTAAAGCTTGATTTGGATATTTTTAATATGTCACGAGTAATAGTTTCATGGTTCAAATTCTTCTATTCTTTATTTTCAATCGGAGTCAAATGCTTCCATGTGGTGGAAGTTTACGGAAAAATATTTCTCTCTTTTGACAATCACTTATTCATGTTGCAAGGTTGCTTTTGATAATAGAAAAATGACACACAAACACACGCCCACACACACAAAAACCGTGTTTCAAATTTGTCTCACAATGAAGAATTTTTCTTATGTATAAATGTGTGAGGAGGAAACCGACCCTTATCTTTTGTTATTTTGCAGAGGATTTAGATGGCGGAGAATATCTCTTTGCATTTCGCATGCTGATGGTTCTTTTCCGAAGAGAATTTTCTTTTGCAGACACTTTGTATCTTTGGGAGGTAAGGATCAAATCCTACGACAGCATAATACTTTGAGGAGCAACTTTTTTTCTGATTCCTTTGATGAGATAGAGAGTATTTCAAATTAATAGCTCATTTTAAGACATAATATAGATTGTTTCCAGCTGATGTGGGGCATGGAATACAACCCGAACATATTCGCTAGATACGAGGACCCAGAGCGTGCTAAAACAAAAGGCGTGACACCTGCAGCAAACGACAAAGTTCTGAAGCAATACGGAAAATTTGAGAGAAAATATTTAAAGGCCGGGCATACAGAGGAAAATAGTGCACTGGCTGTTTTTCTTGTTGCTAGTGTTCTTGAGACCAAGAATAAGCGAATTTTAACTGAGGCCAAGGGTGTGGATGACGTTGTCAAGGTCCTCTCTCTTTCTTTCCACCCACTACTATATATGTATGCATAAATGTCAAGTTCTTTCATGTGTTTCTGCATCTATCTCACGTGAAACTATCTCTTCAGATCTTGGGCGACATAACCTCAAGTCTTGATGCTAAAAAGGCATGTGACGAAGCATTGAAACTTCAGAAAAGATACCTGCTCAAGGTAAGTTTACTTCATTATTACCGTACTTTAATGTTTTACTTGTTTGGTGCCAGTTTGATTTGAGAACAGTTTTAAGTGTCTGTTTTTACTCATGCAGACCACCAAGAAGGCATGACAGAACAACATTAGATTTTCTGTAACTATATGATGGCAGCTGTGGTTGCATGTTCTTCTCAGGTTTCAGTTGTTCCTGACAGTCCATTTTGGTTTCTTTATTTTGTTTTTTTTCTTAGCGATTGCCAGCAGGTTCACATGATGATTCTAGTTCTTTGAACTCTTCAATATGGATGCCATTAGATATAGAGAACCAGAAAACAACAGTTTTATTAGATATAAACTCTTCGATTCATTTTTTGAGATTGTTAGAAGGAGGAAACTTTTATTTATCATATTGGCTTGTATAATGTAAACCTTCATATACGTTGTAATGTAGGAAATGATTTTTGTTTTCTTCCATAAGGCAACATTTAATGGTTACAAAATTGTCAAGTATGTTTTGTTTGCTACTCAAGAAGTGGTAGCTAGGGAAGACACCAATGATCCTATCCTTGCATGGCTTCAATTTCTAAGGTGTGGTATTTATCCTACATAAATCCATACTACAGGCATTACCAATCGATCACGACTATTGCCTCAGGTTGTCGAGTGATTTTTAAGAGTGTGGTAATTATCATCAAAGCTTTTTTGTCACATACATACGCAAATGTTCTTCTTGGATCAGCTTTTCTATTTGGATTTTTAATCCTTGATAATAATTAATGAAATGATATTTTGTGACGTTTGGAGTATGCTATCTTGTCGACTTCAGGTTGTGATTCACTTTTGTGACTTAAGTTGATTAAGTTGGAGTCATATACATCTCAAAAGATTATTCTGGGTTTTTCCCATCAAGAGGGGAGTGTAGTTGAAGAAGTACTATCTCCTTATATCCTTTATGTTCATTCCCTCACCTCAGTCCCAATCATTGTGAGCAGATCTTTTTAGTCCTTTCTTTTTGCTAAAACTATCTTTTCCATGAATATGTATCCATCCTCCTTCCTTTTTTTGAACTCGTTCAACATCTCAGAAGATTCATGTGTTGGTGAATTAGAAAACGGTATTGATTTGAGACCTGCCACCAGCACATGTAACACCACAATTGGATTATGATTTTATATAGGGGATTTTTTATTCCACCTCATGTATAAAAGAAGTACCCTTTGTAATTCTGAAAATGTCCCTCGAAAATTGGAAATGCATTTCTGGTTCGCATCATATTTTACAAAAATATGTCAAATATGGTTTTATTCTTCAAAATGTAAAAATAAAATCGGAGATATGCTTTTGGTTCTGTACCGGTATTATGTTTTCGGTTTTTAGAGCGGAAAGATTGATTTTTTCTGCTACCTTGTCACTTCGTATATAACCAGAAGTATACTTCTGGTATTATGGAAAATTCATAATGCTTAAAACAATAATCAACATTGTCAACTTTGATCAAACCATTTCTTCTTCTTTTCACAAAATTTCTCAAAAATCCTTTCATTCTCATCTATTTTCTACTCTAAATCTTCATTTTTGTGGTTCATCATATCAAAAGAATCTCAAGGAAGTGGAATTTTAGGTAAAGTTTATTCATTTCAATCCTCATTTCTTACTGTAACGTGGTGGGAGAACTGACTTGGTTGTTTTGCGTTTAATCGCAAATGTTGCGGTTAGCAAGAGTCGCCACCGACTTTTCTTTTATCCAAAAAGAAAGATTGAAAAGAACAGGAAAAACCTTTGAGATGTTTTTTTGAGTTCGGGAGGTAGATTATGAAAAAGGAAGGTATTAGCACCCTTTTCATCCGTAGTTATCTACGGGCTCTTAATTGCTTGCTAGATCACTTGCTTTTGTTTGAAAATGTGCTTTGTGTGATTTTTGAAAGTATTTTGAAAAGGCGTCATCGTTTAGGCAAACTTTGTAATGATTCTCGTTCGTAATATACAAAGTGTTGATCTTTTGCAAATGTTTCAAGTTTGAAAGATATTTTGAAAGTGTTGGTGTTTGTTTTGAAAATAGCAAGGATGTTTTGGTTTGAAAATGAGCAAACAACTAGGAACATTCTACCTACTCAAAAGTCTTTCATATTTATTTCCTCTTTTCTTTGACATTGTTATCTTACCATTGATTTGGTAAGAAACTCTATCTTTGGATGTAAAAGGGACGAGCATGGGTCATCGTATAGCCATAATTAGCAACATTGTAAGATATCTTAGCATTTTCTTTAAGGGACTAAGATCATTTTTGAAAGGCAATTTTGATAGCGTCATCGAGGGACTATGATCTTGTATTTTTTGATTGATTTTGCTAAGATACCTCACATGCATAATATGGTCATTTTCATAAGGCAACAAAGTGGATTTACTCTAAGGGTGTAAGTGTGCAAGTGTATTGATTTACATGCGTTGTTTTGTCTTTGAATTAGGGTTTTCTAAGTATTGATTTTATCTTTTCATACAAACCCTAATTTACTAGCATTTATATATAAAGCATTAAATTGCAAAAAATAAAAATACTAAGTTATTACATCAATAGGGGAGGGGTGTACAAATTTACAAATGGGGAAACTGCAAGAAAATTAAATCTAAATAATTATTACAACCATATTGAATATTGTACAAAATTGAAAATAAAAATGAAAGAATATAAATGAAAAAAAGAAATGATTTTGTTTGTTTTTTATGAAAAGGTTTAGTCTTAACCTAATTAAAAAAAATGATTAATAAAAATTAAATAAAATTAACTTAAACTAATAAGAAAAGAAATTAACTAAATTTTTTTTTTAGGATTTTATTTATGAAAAGATTTTAAATTAATAAAAATAATATGAATATTAATTAATTAAAAGAAACTTAAGTTCTAAATTAACTTTAATTGCAAGAAAATAATATAATAGTTAAACCTAAATCTAAATATTAATTAATAAAAAAGAAATTAATTTATTAAAAAAATATTTTTGTTCTTTTAGTTTTATGAAACAAATAAACTAAATAAGTGTAAAAATAATAAATAAAATAGTTTTTGGATTTTTATTAATAACAATAAAAAAAATATTAATAATAATGATAATGATAATAATAATAAAAGAAAATAAAACAAAATAAGAAAATAAAATAAATTGAGAATGATAAAAATGTTTGGGCTAGGTGTGTGAAAATGAAAGCAGGGATTAGTAGAAGCAAAAAGCAAGGCCCAATCAATTGGAGGCCCAGACGCTGCTGTATGACAAAAAAAGAGAGAAAATATGAGAAATGAGAAAAAGGATAGCGCGCTAGGTATTGAACCCACACCCTCTTGGTTACCAGCGCGCTGCCTTACCACTGGGGTGGCTATACATCCGTTTACATTGGCACAACAATAAATACATAACACATATTTTGCCCTGACTGTACTTCATCTTCAACCTCCAGCCAAAAGATTTCAAACTTGCTCATTCCTCAACCATTTTCAAAAATATAAACATGAAACTTGTGTATTTTTTCACCACGAATCCAACCATGTAACTAATTTAAGCTAACATTCAAAGATAAAGATGAATTTATGAAAGTGTCAAATTCTGACCTAAATGTTTCAGCAAGTTTAAACTCAATATTCTCCATGCTCAGGCAACATAAATGAAATCTATGGACATGTATGGTTTCAAGGCAATGATATCTATATTATATCTTCACAAATGCAAGCCTTACAATGCATATATAAATAGTTTAAAAGTCAGAAAACTCACCTTGCAAGAGGGTATCATGTTTTGAGTTTGAGCAGCTTTCAATGAGTTCTAGTGATTGGGTTAACTTCCTCAAGTTGTAACACCTCAATTCTACCCCAAGCAAATTATGCAAAATAAATCAGAGTTATAGAATTTCATTCATACAAATGAATCGGGACGTCACAAATTCTTCTAACAAATTCATTGCATTCATCATGGATATATAACACTTTTAATAAAACATCGGATGAACCATCAATATAGCATCTTTAATAAAATAATTCAATAACTACGCAGCGGAATTCTTCAATAACATCTTTAATTAAAACAGCAACTTCGAAACATCTCATATTTAGTAAATAAACAATTTAAAGTTCAACGACTAAAAATCAGCAATAAAAAATCAGCAAGCGTTCATCCTCCTGAGTGTTACATTTCAGAGCAATGACACTGACTCGATCTATTGAAGGTATATGGTGTTCACTCTCGATTACCTGCACGTTACCAACATAGGGGCAACATTCAAACAGAAGGGGTGATATATCTAATATAATAAAGCACATGATAATTAATATATTAAATTAGATCAATAATATCACCACTTCTCATCTCATAATCAACAATAATTACAGCATATATACTCATTCATCAACTTCAAATACACTTCATTATTGAATCATATAATGCGACTCAAAACTATGCAAATACATGTGATACCATTGGAGCAGAACTCCCATCTCAAAAATCTAATCTGCTAATTAATTGAGGCATCAACAAGGCATAGCCTTCATCTCAAAATTTGTCAATTCAGGCCATCTCAAAAATGCAATGTATGCCATGAATGTAATAACACACTCAGTTAACAACATCTCAAAACACATCTCAAAACAACAACATCTCAATCATCTCAAAACGACAACATTTCAGTCATCTCAAACAACAACATCTCAATCATCTCGGAACAACATCTCAATCATCTCAAAAACATCTCAATTACAGCATCTCATAAACATCTCAAAATAATTTATTAAACATCGTTTATTTATCAAACATCATTTGATTAACCACATCTTACTAATAACTCAGATGTATATCAATAATACAGTAATCCATACTGTTATTCTGCTACTGCACATCATTATTATCACTAAATCCTACTGTCATAATTCTAATAGCAGCCTCTAACATCTCAAGTTCATCATTTTGTCCAAAATCCAGCATAATGGTCATCTACGGGAATTAATTCTAAATCCTAAATTGGTTATTGGAATTACACCTCTTAATCATCATTTAAATCATCTAGAATAGTATTTGTTGCGTTAGCTAAACCACATTTCGAACGACATCTCAAATAGCATCCTAAAACTCAAGTTACAGCAACTTAAAATTG